GATCAAAAGTAGAATATTGAATTTCATTAACTGTTTGCCATCATAAATAAACATTTTGTGTTTTTCTTTTCACTTTTTTGTCATTTTTAGGTATGTTTACAAGTAAAAGTTGCAAAAATGTACCTATTAACTTTCACCATGTCTGTCCTTCTCCATGTAGCAACTGGAGAACAGGAGATTGATATTTGTGACATTTTATATTGGAGAGTTTTACTAGAATTGTTGTCATATATCAGCTTTAACTGAAATTGGAAAATATTGGGCACATTACATGACGACCTTCATGCATGTTTTCATATGAATCCAGAATGAGCAAGAAAGTCAAAATATATATAATTAATAATTTGAAAGTAGTCCCGCGCCGTAGCCGCGCAGTCTGAGGCATCATGCTTCGGACCGGCGACACGGAATGCACTCTGGTTCAAGTCTCAGGGGAGAAGAAATTTTCTCATTAGCTTTCGACCAGTGTATGGGACCGGTGCCAACCCAGCATCGTGAGGAAATTGGGGAGCTACAATGGGTAGCGTAATCCAGTCAGGAAAGCTAGCAATGGCTGGGGGTTCGTCATGCTGACCACACGTCACTCTGTATCTGGTTGGATGATCGTTCGCCTCTGCTTAGGCATGTGAACGTGGGGCCAGCAGCGAGCTAGTCGGCTTTGGCTCTCTCCTCACCAGTAATTGATTCTTTTGTGAATCTGAAATTTATTTCAGGTTCGGAAACACACCCAGCTGAGCCACGAGATGTCTCGTGTAGCAGTATCAGTTGTTGTAAGGGGTCTTTGTAGTCTCCTTCCACATTCAGTTGCCCCTCAGTTGAACGCCATTCTAATGCATTTACAAGGACCTCTCGCTGCACCACAGCCATTAATTGAAGAAACTCACGATGCTCGTAGATTGAGAGTAATTTTTACAGAACTTACATCTTGTAAGGAAGACTCACAGCAAAGGAGTTGGATTCTTTATGAAGATGAAACGACCATTACCGAATACATTCAGGAACTTGTATCTATACTGGTAAGTTGTGGAACAGTTGCAATTTTAGGCTCTCGAGGGTGCTCAGTGCATGAATGTTATGTGGAGGAACAAGAAAACAGAAAATGATTCTCAGGCTTTTAGTATGCAATGCATAACATGAAGCGTGCCCTATTGGAATTGCCGTAAAATCTGCGTATTTTCACCGCAGAAGTACATAATAAGTTCTGATGAAATATTCTTGCTCTAAGACTATTTGATCAGGTGGTTTTTGAGAAATTGCAATCAGAAGGTAGTCTATACTCATTTGACTAATTTGGCCAGTTATTAAAATCACAAATTCTATTGGTTTTTGCAGGCCTATTAGCTGGTTGTGAAAAGTGCAGTGGGCCTATTTACTTTATTTTTGGAACTAACTCAGTTCTTGTGTTTACAAAGTCAACTGAGAAAAGTAAGAGACCAAGAGTAGTCCAAAGTTTAGAAAGTTAAACTTTAAATTATTGCTGATTTTGAAGCTGGCAAATGTACGGTGGATATCGGATGTGAACATTGAGTACCTCCGCAACAGTAAGAACAGTTGTATCTGATAAGAATACAAAGATGTTTCAAAATTGGCAGTGCTGGCACAGTTGGGAAGCAGGAACGATATTTTGCTGAAAATGGAGAAGTTTTTGATTTGGATTTCTGATCAGCAAACTAAGAGAGATAACGTGAAGTTTAAGAGGATTTTTAACTGTCCGAAGAGTAGTCTTTTCTAGCATTTATTTATTCAGAACATAAGTTTAGTGCTCATGTTTGTGACTTACCTGAAATTAATTCTCAAAATGACTTGCAAGTGTATTGCTCTGTATCCATGGCACTTTTAAGGAACAAATTGGTGGCAGGTAGTGAGGGCCCACTGTAGTTGCCAATATTACCAGCTATTTGTTTTTATTTTTCCTTTACACCTGTCTGAAAACTTGTAATTGGGTAGATGCTGTTTGATTTTTAGCTTATGAAATCAAAAATTATTCTTTATAGAAGGTCTTTTTTAAATTTCATAAAAATAGATATTTTTTTTGTAAAAGTATTTAGATATTGGTGACTAGTTGAGCACTAATCAGTATAAAGGCTGTTGCATGCCAGTAGACTTTTATTCTGGTTAATTATTACTTATTTGTAATGATTGTCACACCATCGTGTGTTCCATGCAAAATTTACTGTGTTGTAATACAGACAAATGCGGATGCAAACGTCTCTCGACACGTGCTGTCTGGGGACAAGTACCAGGGAGTTACTACACTGCTGCAGTATTACCAAATGGAAATTCGCTGGTCCATACGTCAATTGCTTCTCCAAGCCTTTGGCATCATGTGCAGTCTTGACACTACTGTTGTTACTATAATGCTCAACTCAGTTTTGCCAATGGAACTAGCTCGGTAAAGTATATGATTTTTAATGTAATAATTTTTGCAGTCTAACTGGTTCATTAACAAATTATCTTGTGATTTTAGCTCACAAACTTCTTTAAAATTAATGGATAAATATGAGTTTGTGCAAGTCTATCTTTTTATTTTGTCATTTCTATGACAGAAACTTGTGGCAAATAAAATGCATCCTGTAACTTCCTACAGCTAAGAAAACATTATGTATATAACTACATAAAATAAAGTACTTTTTTATAAGTGTTGTTTTCCCCCTTGCAGAGATATGTGTACCAATCCCAGGAATATTCCACGACTCAAATACTCTTCACTTCTTCTGACTATGGTGTTTTCAATGGGAGAACCCATGCCGGTCACACACATGGGTGAGTCAACTATGTTCCCATGACATGATTTCTTCACCATTGTCATGTTTACAGCAAAACTTCTGTTAACTGGATCCGTTATAGTTTAATTTGATCACTGTTTTATTTTAAATAAATTACAGTAATTAATAAACTTGTACCTGTGACACACTCGTTATTCTTGGTGTTGATCAGGTTCTCATAGAATGGTAACAGTTCTTGTGTTTCATTTCCTTTGTATAATTCTGGAGTTCTCCGATTAAGCATGTAAGAAAATGCTTTCTGTATGGAACTCAAAGGTTCATCACCATGTTCACGAAAGTCTGCCACTGGACTCTGTCATGAGCTAGCTGCATCCATTTCAATATCTGTAAAGTTTATGTTATGTAATCTTCCCACCTACGTCTAGGTCTTCCCAGCGGTCTCCTCCCTCCAGGTGTCCGCACCAATATCTTGTAAACACCCCTCTCCTCCACCACGCGTGCCACATGTCCGCCCACCTCATCATCCTCGATTTAATGACCGTAACAGTATCAGATGAGTACAAGCCGTCAGGCTCGTCATTATCTTAATTATTTTTTGTCAGAGGGTGTTATATTAATTCTCAAAACTGGTAATGTTTAGACATCTCTTTATGAAAAGTATTACTCTCATGAAGACTGAGCATTAATTATTTGTGAATTTTCTTAGAGCACCTAGGTGTCAACTTCATGTCATTCCTGTTTGACCTGATTGAATCTCCGCCGGATACTGACGTGGAAGACCAGATTCCAGATCTGTTTCTGAACTTGGTACTTGCATACAACCTGCAGTTTGCCCCAGATGCTGAAAATGTCATGTTGAAAGCTCTGTTACAAAGGACTGTAGCAAAAACATTCACTGAGAAGACATTGCTTCTTTTTAACAGAGAAGGTAAGAAAAGGAACAATTTGTCCCATGCAGTCCGTCGTTTAATGCCACTCCATACAGCGAGTTGAAAGGTCTACAAACGCTGAATGAGATGCTGATGTTTTGTAATTTGTAATTTTAGCACCAGTTCATTACTTTATGTAATTTACAGATTTATATTTTCTGTGTAGTAAGTAGAAATTGACGTTATGTCTGGCCATGGAATTCCAAGTTGGAAATGAGCCAGTGGAACACAAAGAAAGGAGTGGTTGCCTGTAGAGGGAATTACCATCCGCATCCACACTCTGATCCAGGCAAACTGACATTGAACCAGTGAGGAGAACGGACTTGGCTCAGTTCTGACAATCCTGACCTAAGATATAAACATGAGACATTCTGTCCATGCATTTTTATAGATAATGAAAAATAAGAACAAATCCACATATTTCATCCAAGTTCTTTGAAGGGTCTGTTTTCTATCTGACGTCATTACCGAACATGATCGCAGGTGATGAGCCTTGGGTGTGCAGATACAACCTGGAAACGACAGTGCTCCCAGTGGAAAACATCCACCAAGAAAGGCACATCAATTTAGATCACATGTGAAGATAATGTTGATTGTGTTCTTCAATTTAAAACAAATTTTAATATTGAGATGGTAGATGTAGCGTTATTGTATGTTTTTTGGGGCATTAGGTGGTAAGAATATGAAAGTGGTACCATGATATCTATTACATGGTAGGTCTCCTAGTTGTAGGAGATTGTTGCAGCTAGGATTGTACGAAGTCGATACATATCTAAGTAGGATTTGTGGTTCTTACAGTGGTGAATACAAAGATTGCTGTCTTCTGGGTTGTAGTGCTGTGTTGTCTGGTGGAAATCTACCAGATTATATCATGCTGTAACCCAGAAGACGGCCACCTTCATAATATTATTAATCTTTTAAGTTTTGTCGTGAGGTCAGGATTGAAATGAAAATATGGCTGTCATATTATTTTCACTAATTACATAAATTTATACTGATTTTTTTCTTCAGAGAAAGGATGTAATCACATTAGATATTTCGGATGCTATTAAAGTCTACCTCACTCAAGCTTTGGATAGCCTTGCACTTCTGCTACTAATATTCTGACGTACTGTACGGCATAATCTGTGCATCTGTGTACTGACCCGTAGGAGTTTTGTCAGTACCCGCTGTATTTCTATTTATGTAAAAATTCATTGTTCTTCTTTTAACATCCCTGATACTCTCAATATCAAATTCTGAAAGACTAAAGAGTTATACCCTGCTGATGAACTCTGTGGAGGAATGTGATTGTAACTTGTTTGTCTTCTGTAGAGGATCCAGTTCGAATATTTGAGCACGTACCTGCTCCACCCAATTCAGTTCTGAAGCTGTTTGTGGATCTGTTTAGCAACGCACAGACGGCTGCACTCTTCTACACCAATGATACGAAGGTCCTCATTGATATTATTGTTAGACAGTTGGCTGACCTGTCACCTGGAGACAGTGTAAGTTTTAAAAGTGTAGTGTAAGCATATCGTGGATTTCCAACTAGTCTCTTGTAGTCACATCCCTTACAAGTGCAGTTTTTGTATTGGGGGAGAAAAAAGAAGAGATTTGCACCTTTTTTTTCCTAAAATATTTGCATACAAATTGTAGTTGCACATGATATTCAAGGGGTTGATTTGGGTAGCACAAAGTGCTATATGTGGGAATATACAAGATGCAGTGATAGACTTGGCAACATTTTCAGAAAAAACAGAACAAATAGGTAATAGTGGCACAACCACAAAGAAAAGGTTGAAGTTAGTGACTGTTGCGTCTGCTACATAATGACATTCTGTTAAGTGAATGAATGCGTGTATCCAAATGAACATTGACCGTCAGTGTCGCACATACTGAAAGTTGTTTCTGGCTTCTGTAATCTTAAATTGAGTGATTACGATGCTATAAAAGGAATTTAGAATATATAATTTTAAGGCATTCTGCATTAAGTATGAGATTTGCTTGTTATAGCCCACTGATTTAAATCATTTTTGGCACTGCTTAGTGAATACAAGACCACATCTTATTAATTAATTCGTGGTATGTAAATAAACAGGTTGATTTGCCACTTTGTCCGTTGTTTTAGCGAAGACAACAGTACCTTCAATTATGCCAGCTGGTAATGCGAAACACTCCTTACTATGATCATCACCATCGACAGGATGACATTCTTAAGTGCTTCACGAGGATATTCTGTGAGGAAACAGAGCAAAGCAAAACTGATCAGAAATTGGTACGAGAAATATCCAATGAGTTCCCACAATACTTCAAGGCCTAGCGTAGCAGAGCACTGCAGTCCATGTTGGTATGTATATGAGTCTGTTATTCTCATAGAATGGTCCAGTTTTAAGTGAATCAGTAGAAAAAAATTGTTGTAATACTCATGCATCTCTCCTCTGCTCAACATACTCAGTTACTCATCTGAGGCATTTAATTGCAGTGTGGCAGAATGATGATATTACAGCCTTTTTTGTGGCATCTGCAGATTGAAGCCAAAATGCTGAAATACGTAATCACATGGAAATTGATCCAAAGAATAAGGAGGGTGTGCCAGCACGTCTGAGCCCCAACCTTACAGGTGGTTTTGCATGTCGTGATATCAGTAAGGGTCTGCATTGCCCTTGATTTCATGTTCCAGTTGTTTGCGCTATGATAGAGGTTGTAACTTACCAGGTAATAATACTCCATAGTATACACCGCTGATGATGGTACAAGTACACACATTCCTGTTTCTCATTTGGAATAAAATGCATGCTAAATATTATTGCTGGAACATGTTTGTATGTAATAATACCAGGATACATAATACTTGATTCCATTTCTAGCCAAAGCGATTAAAATACGGATGTATGATGATGCATCGTATTTTAAATGGTATATTATATAAAATTGCTTGCAATAAGAAGTTTATTGTAAATAAATAGTGTATCAGAGTCAATTATTTTGTCACATGTTACTCCTCAGTTTGGTAACATTCGTGATCATTTTTACACGTAATTATGTTTAGAGGGTTTGTGTTTAATCTGTGCATTTTTTTTACGAAATAATATTTGAATCTTAATATTATGTGGTGTCCTTAATTCTTATCGGAATAAGATATCACTCGTGAAAACATGGTATGATGCACGTGAATTAGTATTGTGTATTGCGCTTTGTCAATCATCAAACACTAATTATCATAGACAGGGAGATATGAGAATTTTCCAGTCTTTTAAACATGTCATGGCTTAATAATTTTATGAATATGTCTGTGCTTATGTTGGCTATAAAAATAATTTGGTCGCTCTTGAATGCACATGAGACTTTTATTGTCACATGGTTGCTTGTAATATTTTAGTTTTTTTAAGGGGACATCCATCTAATTATATATCAACTGTATTAATATTTTCCATCACCACAACAAAATGAAGCTAAGAAAAATTACATTTACAGAAGTTATCTCGGATATTTATCTGCTGAAGATGTATATAGTACTGTAACGTATCTCCAAAGTTTGACGATTGACTGCATTTTTCACAGCACTTTAAAAATGTTTTTTTTGGATCTTGTGTAGTATTATGCTCTGGAATACCAGTTTATATAACTAAATTAGATGCTATCGACAAAAGTGTTCCCGTTTTCTCGTAATCATTTGTGAGAATCTAATTTTCACAATTGGTAAAGAAACTGCCCATCTTGTATGGAACACATCGGTTCATTACCATGCTCACAGCAGGCCCAACTGAGTCCATTCTACATCCTATATATGTTTTTAATCCATTTTAATATTAGCATACTGTTTATGCCTGAGTCTTCCCTTTGGATTTTATAAAATTGTTATGTAAAAATACTAACTCAAAATTTGAGAATTTGTTAATATCGTATGCCACGAAATGAGTAGCAGCTGTACTTATATAGTTGCAGGAATGTAATGGCTGCCTTGAGTAAGGTATGAATGTGTTCTACAACTAGTCCTTTCTGCTCCCGAAACTCACCAGTGTAGTTCGAGTAATTTTAATTCACAGAAAGGTTCATGACAACCATTTATCTTGTGAAATATTTTTTTGTTGCTACTAGTAACTAATTTCAGAGTTTGAGATTATTGCCAAGAAGGCAGGTGATAGAACCACAGCTTTTATTTTGTAGTTAATGTATGAATGGAACGTGTAACATTGTGCAATAAAACAAGAAGCTGGATCTACATTTCTATCTAAGAGACTTGGAATTAGTAACAGAATGAAAATGGCTTTCTTCTGGGTTGTTGTGCCATGTAGTCTGATAGAAGTTACCGACATTTCGGACGTGCTTGCTGCCTCCGTCATCATCGTCATTTTTGACGATGGAAGCAGCAAATACCTCTGAAACACTGGTAAACTTCTACCAGATTGCGCAGTATAGCAACCCACGAGACGGACGTCTTCACTCGCTGCCATCAGAAACTCGCATCTCACTCAGTAACAAAATATTTAATGTTTTAGCGCTTGTTGCTGTTACTGTGAGATAACATTAGTTTATACCCTATATTTCCCATGACTAGAATATAGTTCGATGTTACCTTTTTTTCCAGCTCCTGGTTTCATTTAAAGTGTTTTTTGCTGAAAGTGTATCATGAAGACAGACCAAACACCAAAACGCTGATTCTTCTTGATTTACAAAAGAGTCGGTACAACACTTTTCCAAAAATGATTTGAAGATTACAATATTAATTAAGAACCTGCTTTAATAGCTTTATAATATCCCAGAACTCAGTTAAGTATATATGTCATACACGTCACACAACACGGACAAACAGGTGTATAATGAATTCTTCTCGGGCTACGAGCCGTCTGAGTTGGTTTAACGGAGAAAACGCTGCCATGGTTTTGCGTTGGTGTTTTCTCCGTTAAACCAACTCGGACGGCTCGTAGCCCGAGAAGAATTCATTATACACCTGTTTGTCCGTGTTGTGTGACGTGTATGACATATATACTTAACTGAGTTCTGGGATATTATAAAGCTATTAAAGCAGGTTCTGAAATTGAAACTCACCGCCATGTAAAACTATTTAGTATAATTCTGGTCTGGTTGAGGAATATTTCTCATTCTGTAATTTTGATTCGTATAGTTTTCATTACTATTTTGACACGCCACATATATTCAGAATATGGCTAACCTGTTCACAGAGAGACTTTAATAACCAGGAGTAGTAGATACAGTTCCGAAATACTATGAACGTGAATCGCTTCAGATTGTAGGCTCTGCTGCACTGATGCATGATGGGGGAAGTAAGTACCCACCTCTTTCACTGACATGGCAGTACTGTTAGCGTAGAGTAAAGACCATTTATATAACATTCTTGTATATTTCTTTCTCTGCAATTCGCTCCATGATAAATTTTTAATATAAGTATATTGCAGAAGACTACACCAAGGAAGCAAGCGAATCAGAACGCTGGTAATTATGAATATGAAGATGTCTGATACGGCCTTCGAGATTAATCGTGCGTGTCCGTCGACTAAGGCGTCTGGCACGCAGGGAATGCGCGTCTTCGTTCTGAATACTTGCCATCGAAGTCCACCGTTCCCGAGCCATCAGAGTCGATCTCTTCAATCATCATGTCGAGCTCATCACTTGTCAGCTGGTCGTCAAGTTCTCGCAAGATCTCCCTCAGACATGATGTTGGGATGTAACCATTGCCTGAAAAATTATTTGTTACGACCTTCATTATCAGAAATTTGTGAAATAAGCGAGATTTAAATTTCTCGCAGCGGCGAGTATGAAGATTACTTTCTTTTTGGTTGTTCCACCATTTACTCTAGTAGAGACTGAGTGACAGTTCGGAGGTGCTGCTTACTGCCTCCTGATGATGGAGCCTTTGAAACATTGAGACTATGTGATGTAACAACCCAGAAGACAGTTACTTTCTGTACAATATTTGAACACCTATATGCATTATTTAATTTAATAAGATAAATTATTTAAGTTATTGTGTCACATCCAAAAATTTTGTGTTTATGTAATTTCAGACAACACGTCTAATTTTCTTCTTATGACAATTGTTTCGGAATTGGGTGTGATACTAAGTTGCTTATAGGAGCTATGATATTTGGTAACATATTTTTATTATATTGTTTCATAATTATTTCATTACTGATAAATTAATTTCTCTATGTGGAGTATGTCAGAACCAAATTTTACGAAAGTGTATTATCTAAAAACTATTTTTAATATGCTGTGTTTATTCCGTAAGAAAGTGAAAATTGATATAATCTTGATCATTAGTCTAGAACTGTTATATTATGATAGAGCATGGAAGGTAATGCAACTTTTATTTCATTCAAGTGAAAATTGGCTGCTTAGAAGACGAGACTACAATTAACTACGGGGTAATTACGTTCTTTTGGGTTTTGGATTCTGGCATCTTGTGGACTAGTCGGTAGATGCCAACATTTCGGAGAAGCATACTGTCTCCATCCGCACGCTGTAGATGGAGACAGTACGCTTCTCTGAAATGTTGGCATCTACCAACCAGTCCCCCCGCCAACAAAAAGAAATACCATCATCACCACCGTGAAAACCTTGAAGTACCGACGATGAGATATGAACAAGATTTTTCTACATATTTCACAAGAAGCTTATTTTTAGCGTTCAAAGATCGCTGTGTAGCGATAACTCTCGAATTTATGAAGTTATATTAGCAAGCTTTTGGGCCTGTGGTCTAAACTACGCAAAAAAAAAAAAAAGCTTTTAGTATTTCATTGCCTGCTCATAACTTGAGGCAGGAGGAAATGTACATATCTGAAAACAGAACATGTACAGTTTTTATTGATACAATTTTTTTTATAAATTAAATATTACATGGAGGAGCCTTACAGCGCCAGTACTTAAAAAGAAGATAAAGAAGGTATGTAATAGTATAATTTTGAGGCAGTATCATCCTCTGTACTTTGCAGAGACTGTCTATAATTTCCTATGCCGTCATTTTTTCTGTATAAAATCCTGCGACATTACCTTCCTTATCATAAAGTCGGAATGCTTCCCGAAGTTCTTTCTCCATGGCTTCTGCATCCTCTTCAATAATGAATTTGGCCGCTAATGTGATAAATTCGTCGAACTCCAATCGTCCTGATTCTGAAAGCAAAATATATTTAAAATTTTAGGTTAGGTTTTGCACTTCAGATAATATATTTAAAATTTTAGGTTAGGTTTTGTACTTCAGATAGAAATAATCTGTTTTATATATATAAGTTAACAGTTCTTGTTATTGTCATTAACCCAAGCCAATTACGTCACTTTTAACTGAACATATTCCTTTGGCTTGTCCGTGATCGGTGATTGTAGGACCTCGATAACGTAATTCTGGATTGTTTGGGATTATATGTGATTGACTGGAACCAAAATTATTAATTATAACCAGTAGTATTACAGTTTATAAGAGAGAAAGTGAGAGTTCCAACCATGTTTATGTAATTCAGTAATCATTATTTTGAATAGTTTGAATGAAAGTGGAGTAGGGAAACCTCCAGCCGTTTGCAGTTAGTACCCGCAGGCCGTGCACTCACCTTTGTGTAGGTCACCCATCACTACAATCATACACTGTGAAGTGGTCAGGAATTTGACGCTATCCAAAATAAAATTGTACTTGGAAGGTGTATTTACCCACGCTGGAGGGACTGAGGAAAACCATGAAACCCCCTCAGTCAGGATGGCCAATCTCCAAGTTGAGTGTGTGTGTGTGTGTACATGCCTAATATATATATGTGTCTGTGGTCCCACTTTTTAAAATTTGAAGATAATATAAAACTGGTCTTTCAACTAAACACTACCAATTCTTACGTTCGAGGATTACATTGAAAATCACACTCATTTGTTTTAATCGCTGTGTTGCCTGCATTCACCTCATGACTGTAAGTACTCTTTATTCTTGTATCTGTAATTCACTACAAATATATATATATTAATACATAAGTCTATGTTATGCTTACTGTCGGCATCTACTTCATCAATCAGTTCCTCCAGCGTGTTTCTGTTGAAGGGCTGTCCCATGAGACGCAGGATCTCCTCAACCATGTTAGTAGAGATACTTCCAGACTTCTCACGATCAAAGGCATCAAATGCCTTTTTCAACACTGCAACACATCATATATTTTGTGAAATACCGGATATTACATTTGGTACTTTGCTGATCGTTTATTATTACATGAAAAGATTTTTCAGTATGCCGTATCCTTGTACCGTTTTGTATTCTTCAATGTCTGAACATGATAATGGGTTTTCGTGAAATTGTGGTTCCCACACATTCTACGGACTTTTTCTTTTGCTCGTTCAAATGTTTCTCAGCCTGGCAGTGTTGTTTCTCTGGGTTGCGATGCGTTGTGGACGTACAGTTAGATGCTAATGTTTCAGACATCCTGTCTTCAACTTCCGAGCTGAAGATGCAGACAGTATGTTTCCTCAAAATCTTGGTATCTGCTGTGGCGTCACAACCCAGAACACTGACGTCTTCACGACTGTGAGAGGACCAAATACCTCGCTTGTTCAGTCTTGTTTATTTTATGTCTGCAGCTGTGTTGTCAGACTGGTGGTTTGTTCAGTTAATTGTGTGTCTGCCCCGAGTTCTGCTAGTCGCAACTGCATCTGATACCTCGACGCTGTGAGACTGCAGAGCTCTAAACCACCAAATTGCAGCGCGGCAAACTGGACGGCTGGTGATGCTATATGTAAGTATTTTTATTGTCCTGAACAGATTATAATATATTAGTACCTAATGTTAATGCACATGCAGAAATTTTTATCTCTTAAGGGTCTGTTGGGTATTTCAAGGTCAAGTTTCAAGGTTATGCCCTTTACTTTTTGTGTAATTTAATTAAGCTTGAATGCCCCGTTGTGGTGTTTATCGGCCATTACTCAGACCTGAACTGTGCCCTAGACAAGTGCTTGGTTTTCACGTCCGTGTCTTGTCCGAGATGATGGCTGCAAAAATATGCTCCGAAGAAAGAAAGCGCATCACCGTAACACTTAGGCAATTTATCTGGCGGGTCGGTCTAAACGTTCTTTGTTGGCGTTTCTCAGTAGCGAAAAGTCGCTGTAGTCGATCGCAGAGTAAGGTGGCCGGCTGCCAGCTGTGAGAAGCCCTCTTAAGTGTTAAAAATCAATTTATCTTGTCTTCACACGTGAGAAATGCCACAGCTGAACGCGATTCCAGTTTTCCATGTCTTGTCACAAGGCATTCATCCGCAAAGGAAATGCAACCGATAGGAAACGGGGTTTAGTACGCCCTGTAACAACCCATCATTAACTTTCTGGCATCTCCCCTAAAAGTTCCGTAACTATTGAACTGTATGAACCGTTCAGGCAGCAGGAAGTTTTATACATTCGAACGATTTGGAAAGTTGTTACAGCGTTGAAGGATTTGAGGTTTTCACGGCTACTAGTCCAAGATGGCTGCCATTGTTACTCGTGTTTCATTGCAGGAATATTTTTCTGCGTCAGTTCTGCAAGTGAAAAGAGAACTCAGAAGATAAAGATCTATCCATTATTTGTTTCATGAATTTGTGTTCTTCACAGCCCTTTGCTTATAACGCATTTTTTTACGAGTGCTGTGGTTGTAAATAAATAACAAGTGGAAAAGAAACGACCTTGATGCATTTTAATGATAAATAAACGGGGCTGATATCCAAGCAGTCATTTTGAGGGGTCACAGAATACGATTAAAACTGTCGCGGCAAAAGATGGCCTTTCTCTAGGTAGTGATCCATTCATATGGCGAAATACTAAGTCAATTTCAGTAAATATGAAGATGGCTGTCGTCTGGGAGAAGTTTACCGACATTTCAGAGGTCCTTGCTGCCTCCATCATCAGGCATCGCCCTGACGCCATGGAACACAGTTCTTCTATAGAAGCTAATTAAGAAATTTCCCGTCTTTTATGAGACCAGGCCAACAATTGCTTCATATTAATCTTCATTCATTCAATCCACAACGTCACATCTTGTTTCTTTAAGGTACATTTTAATATTATCCTCCCATTTACGCCTCGTTCCCAAGAAGTGACCTGTTTCATTTAGGTTTTCGGACCAAAAGGCCACGTGAATTTCTCATTTATTCCGTGTTTGTTGCACAGCAATCTTTTTTAAAAAAAACAGAAAACTGACAAGCAGAGAAATGCATGGGAAATCACAGTAATTATTTTTGAATCGGACTGTGGTTCGTGTTCTTTGAAGCAGTTGGCAATGAGTCACGCGTATTTCGACGACAGTTATTACTGCCCTCCAGTTTTTGTAACGTCAACAATGTCAAAGAAATCTGTGCAGAGGTGATGAAGTGAGCAGAGCAATGTTCCCCGCTGTCTTGGACCCCAGTCAAGTGTCTATCAATAACAGACCTCTGGTAGTTAAACAGACGAATTGCCTCAGATGTGAGTGACTTAACAAATCCATTGACGCGAGACACTTGACAAATTGCAGTTGAATAACCTCACTTTTTTTTCTGGAAAGAAATGGGATGCGGTGTCTATAATTGCCTGCCCTCTCGTGGTATACGAACCTCCACTACTATCAATGAGGTCAACAATGCAACTTACCGTGTATTTATGATACAGAAAGTAACTTTGTTGTCAAAGAAAACAGACCGGATACGATTTAATTCAGCTACGTTGCCTGGAAAACAGCTTTGAAAAAAAAAGAGAGAGAGAGAAGAGAAGAAGAAGAAGAAATGTAATATTCAAGGGACGTAAATGCTTGCTGTATTCTGGGCCACGTTTTGGCTATTCATGTATTTGTCGTGTACAGTAAACGAAATTGTCTAACTTTTAGTTTTGATTTCAAGTCATTGTTAATTTTTTTTTATGAATTTCTGTTATTCGTTCCGCAGCCATCTTGTGTCGCTTTGTTAAACTAGATACGATCTGAACAAAGGAACATCACACCTCGTCGTAATAACGCGATTTAACGTTATAGGCCTGCGTGTTTAAAGTTTATGTTTAATTTTGTTACGATTTCAAGGACTGCAGGAGGAAAAGAGGGGTTATTTTTACCCCCGAATTTCAAAAATCTTGGGGGGGGGGGGGTCAGGTATACGTCACTTGTCTTTGTCATTACGAACAGCTGAGTAGTTTTCATTTACGAGATTTGAGGTTCTCACCGTGGTGATAAAGTTTGGACAATATCCTTCAGACTTTCTACAGAACATTAGTCAAGAATTCGTCGCATGGCTTTTCGAGCTTCGTGTATGTTAAAGACTGAAATTATTCTTACCTGCAATCTGTTCTGGTGGAAGATCTTCAGCCTGTGGACAGAGAAGGAAATTGTGTTAGGCAATCTTGTGCCAGGGCGGGGTTTTATCTGAAGTGGCATCGGTGGGATTTCCCCTCGCCCTGCTGATGTTCTTGAATTCGCTGTAGCACGTGCCAGAATGAACACGTGTGTGTTATGACGCACGGATCACAAACTTCGCCCGCGGCCATATTTCTTTCTACTCTTGCGACAGATCGGCTTAAGGATGATGAAGGGAATAGTTATATTGCTTTGTATGGGTGCGAAACTTGGTGTCTCGCTCTACGGGAAGAACATGGGATGAAGGTGTTTGAAAACAAATACGAACTCAGTAAAAAAATATCACAGAAAATAACGAATGAGTAAGAAAAAGTAATCCTTGTCCTTCACCGAATATTGCGTGTTATGGCGATGGAATCGAGTGGGACGAGGTTGGCGGGCATGTAGTACGCACAGGGGAGAATTGGGGATAATATTAAAATTGTTCTTAAACGATTGGATTAATTTACTTCAGTGTTGGTAAGAGTGGTAGGCTTTCGTGAAAACTGAATTAAAAACTTTGGGTTTTATAAAGAGCGGGGATTTTCTGGACTAGTTGAGCGACCGTCGAGTTATTTAGTTTGTTGGTTGGTTAGTTAGTTAATTAGTGTCATTTAGTTAAGTGTTCCCATTTATTTCTTGTTCTACAAGTAATGTAAGGCGTTCACCCATCGAAACAGGAAGTTCATCTAAACATTATTTTAAAAGATTAGTTCGTACCGCAAAGAAAACACCCCATCTACGTTACAAAGATTAGTTGGTTACTTCTGTTCAGGAAATAATCGCTCTTTACCCTGAGGATCATAAGAAACACATAAATAAACTCCGTGGGTAAAATTCTGAGCTACAGAGTGTTAAAGTAAGTTACTTGTGTATTTTAAAGGGTTAACTGGTGTAATGTTCGTTTAAGGCTTTGACCGGGATGTTCTTTTGTTAAATCTTATGTGGTACCGCCTGATTCGACTTCTAATGGTTAAGTGAAGTGTTTTCTTCGCGGTACGGTCTGGATTCGTAAATATTATGAAGACGAGCTTCGGCTTCAAAGGGTTAACCAGCTGATTTTCGTAATGGTGAGGTGTAGTGTTTTCTTCGCGGTACGGACTGAATTCATAAATAATATTCAGACGATCTTCGGCTTCAAAGGGTTAACCAGCTGATTTTCGTAATGGTGAGGTGTAGTGTTTTCTTCGCGGTACGGACTGAATTCATAAATAATATTCAGACGATCTTCGGCTTCAAAGGGTTAAGACTCACCGGAAACCCTTTTCATTTGTTATACGTTTCAGATTGCATTTTACAGACTCAGCACGACTAAAGTTTAATACACGCATGAGGGCAGTTGCTTCTTTTATAGTTCGTCCAGGTGAGACTCTTGGGCGAACACACTGGGGGCTCTTGTAAATATCCATGTCTGTCCATTTCACACTGAGTGACAGGTCTGACAGCTGAATTAATTTGTAACCCCTGTTCTGAGAAACCGTCTTTCTTTATCCAAAGGCGAAGTGATGACGAGGCGGGCACTGTCCTGATAAATATTTATCCGAGTTAAATTCGTAACCCCCACCCCCATCCCAGTCTTTAAATCATTTTATGGGTAGAACGGGATGCGAATTCCCCTCTTATTGTGCACTGAGAGGAGTGTGGAGGAACCGCCCTCTGTTGGCTTTCGTCACGAGCTGCCTGTACGTAGCGTAAATCAGTCCGGTGTTTATCTTGTCCATCCCTAGAGGCCTTCCTGGTGAAATTATTCTGATAAAATATTCCATTCTTTATGCTTTCGACCAAATACTTGCCGGCTTATTTATTGTTTAGGGTAGAAAAATGCTTTATTCATAGCAACCCTTTTGTCAACGTGGGAGTTAACCCATGGTCTTGTGGCCGCTGTTGGCTCTCGTCAGATCCAAAGTTACATGTTCCTTCACATAACATAAAAGTGCTTAATTACGTGTTTTTTAAAAAAAATCGTGTAACTTGGATACACATTTAAAACAATTCGTCAGTTATGATGATTAAATTACTGACAGTAGAAG